TTCAAGTTGCATTGTTCAAAATACCTGTAGTAGCACAGCAGTGCATACCTGTTTACATTTAATTAAGGTGGACTAGATTAGACTGTAATACAAATAGTTGAGTTTGCCAGGTGCATACAACATTTATGACAGGTTTTCATGAAAGTGTTGGTCAGTTTGTCTGCTTGACAATCCCATTTTGCACTGCAACAATAAAACTGAAGTGAGATAAACAAACTGAGAAATGTTTCTTTTTAGTTAAAACAGATGTTGCCAAAGTTTTCGTTTGGGGACATAATTTGAAGTTGGAAAAAGGTAATAAATTGCAATATATCGCAGAATATTGCAATATATTTAAAATCACAATTATATTGTATCGTGACACAAGTATCGTGATAATATCGTATCGTGGGGCCTCTGGTGATTCCCACCCCTATACAGTACAGTGTTTACAGTCTAGATAAGTGTTTAAAGACACTGTTTACAGTTGAAATAGCTGATACTGTATTGAATCAGTTTCTATTTTTGTGACTTGTTGTAGTTTCTTCTTTTTTATTGGGGCATCATAACAAAATAATACAGTTGACATACAGAAACTGTCCCTTTCCCTTCCCAACTGGCCCACCTTTTTTAAAGGTTTTAAAGATACAATATTACTTACATTCAGAGTGGTCTGGTTCTTTCTGGTAGGACATTTCAGAGAAAATAAAAGAAGAATCAATTACTATAACAGATTATATTTTTCAGATATTTGATCTTTACATGGCTAGTCATATCTGCATTTATATGGTTATTTATATGGGGGGAGTCGTGGCCTAATGGTTAAATAGTCGGACTTGTAACCCGAAGGTTGCGTGTTCGAGTCTCAGGTCAGCGGGGATTGTAGGTGGGGGGAGTGACTAACCAGCGCTCTCTTCCACCCTCAATACCACGACTGAGGTGAGACCCTTGAGCAAGGCACCGAACCCACTGCTCCGGGTGTGTTTTCACGGTGTGTGTGTGTGTTCACTACTGTGTGTATGCACTTGGATGGGTTAAATGCAGAGCACAAATTCCGAGTATGGGTCACCATACTTGGCCACACGTCACTTCACTTTCACTTTATCACAGGAACCATGGATATACATCAAACCATCAAAAATAAATACATTTTCACTTGCAGTTTTCATTCAGCTGCATATACTTTGATTTCAAGAATTCCTTTGTCAAATACATGCATTTGGGTAATTTTATTTTATTGTATTTTATGTCTTGTTCATTTAACCCAACATACTCCTCATCCCAGCTTCCTCCTTCTCCCAGCTGCCATATAAGAAGGTCACTTGGCACTATGCTGACACCTACTGTATATTGTTATAGCAAAGTAGTATAACAGAAAATGTCTGCACTACCTGAACACATATGGTTTGCATGTTGAAATGATTTGCAAATAACAGTACAATAACAACAAAACAAGCAGTAGTTGTTTGAAAGTGCTCTGGTTTGACTGTCTGCAGGGATAACCTGCACCTGCTGGAGGAGGGTCAGGGTATACTGAGGGAGGAACTGGACGAGCGTATTGCCCGTGAAGAGTTCCGGCGCCCCCGTGAATCTCTGCTTAACATCTGCACAGAGTTTTACAAGCACTGTGGTCCACGCCTCAAAATCCTGCAGAATGTGGCAGGAGAACCCAGAGTCACTGCTCTAGAGCTGCTGGATATCAAGTCTCATATGAGGTGAAACAAAAGCTACCTAAGGTAGTTTGAACATCCAGTAGCACGATGGAGCAACCAAGTCATAGCATTTTCTAACATGTTTTACAGATTGGCAGAAGTCGCCCACTCCCTTCTCAAATTGGCCCCGTATGACACGCTGACCATGGAAAGCAGAGGACTGCGGCGCTACATCACAGAAATGTTACCCATCACCGATTGGTCGGCAGAGGCCATTCGTCCTGCCCTCATCCTCATTCTGAAGAGGCTGGATCGCATGTTTAACAAGATTCATAAGATGCCCACACTCAGGTGCGTTCACCCTCAGGCTCTGTGCACCAGGTATGTCCTCACGCTGATCTCTAGCCCTCCACCATCTGTGTTTTTGCATGCACTGGTGGAGCTCTGCTGGCCTTATCAGTGGTATCACATCTCTTGAGATGTGATGCCAGCTGCCGCTTTTGTGCTTTGTTGTTGTGCTTGGTTTTCCATTGTCTCATTATGATTTCAAAATAAAGTTGAATAAATGGTGGACTAAATGTTGTAAAGCAATCAGTATGCCTAAGAATATTATATCTTGCTTTTGTGTACATACTATGAGCTTGCTTATATTTGTGAAGTATTGTCTATAATACACTTATGCAATATACTTTTAAACTAATTAGACAGCAATATGTCATTTATCAAAAACTTACAACGTAAAGTATTCTTCCTAAATCACTATTTTATGTAGGCATTATTTTTGTGAGTATCAGTGCAAAGATTTTTTTTTCCAGTGGCAGAAGGGATTCATTACAAAATCCCTAAAGTGACATTTCCAGAAAAAAATAATAATAATAGAAATCACATGCACAAATTTAGCATGATTGGGAAATTTTGTGCACATAATAAACTTGCTCAAATGTGGTTTTGTGGACATATTGAAGTTTCTTCTGCATGTGGAAAACTAATACTAAAACAAATATTTTCTGAAAAACTTATATGTGCACAATGAAACTTTTGTGTGTGCATGGTAGGGCTGAACGATTTTGGAAAATAATCAAATTGCGATTTTTTTTTTACCAATATTGCGATTGCAATTTAATATACAATTTTTAAAGCTCTTTATGTTCTTTATTATTCAACAAAGACAAGCTATAAATCATTGTATAGTATGACCAACACACTATTAGATAGATTAAACATAAATGTTCTTTTCTGTAGGCCAGGCCTATATGTTACGATGAAATTAGGTGATGCGTGAATTGATATGAATGACATTTTTATTTAACAACTACAATCACAGTTCATTGACTGATTTGCTGAACTTCCAACCTAATAATTATGTTTAAATAAGCCTGGTGTAAACATTAATATGAAAGTCAGTAACAAATCACACAAACTAAAGTAGATTGCAGAAATATAAAAACAAATCTGTTGCTTTAGCACACTACTTTAGGTAATTCAAAGTCACTGTAATAAACATATGTAAACATGTGCACTGCACTTTTTAAACACTGTCTGTTAACTTTAGACCAGTGGTTCTCAAACTTTTTTGGTTGCGCCCCCCTCAGACTACCAAATAATTTCACTAAACATTATGAAAAATTAATGCTTTTTTAATTAAAAAAACCTACAGGGAAAAAACATTAAAACATTGAAAAATAGCATAGAGAGAATAACTTATTATTATTATTATTATTATTCTTTCTCTGTTATTTATTTATTTTTTGTGGGTTTCATGCTGTCCGCTAAGGCATAGGACACACACAGGCTTTCCTCCTCACCAACGACATTAAACACCGTGTCTACACCGGACGCGAGCGGCAAAATATAGTAGAACCGTTATAATCAGTGACGCTGTGTACACTAGATGCAACGCGACATTAAACTGATGCCTTGTTCTATTTATGACGTACTGACACAAAGTTAAAATGATTTGCAATTGTTGCTTTGCTGCGTCCAGTGTAGAGCTGTTGCGGCGCGACGCGACAACTGTAGTGTATAGACACAGTGAGTGAAGCCGAGAGCAAGATATGCCTCGTCATATTTTATGCATTTAGCTTTTGAATGACCAGCACCTGCCTGGATCTGTGCGACTTCATCTATGGCTTTTCTCTTCCCTTTCACAAACCGATCCATCTCCCATTCTAAGTTACGTCCTTTGGCTGTTTACTGTTTTATTTATTTTCTTTTTCTGCTGATGGCCGATGCTCGACTTGAAGCAGCGCTGCTTAGACCGATGGGTGTGTGTCATCAAAGTACTGCGAGAGCTATAAGAGAGCGAGGACGTCTCCTTATGCTTTCTCTCGCCTTACTTTGATGTCATACACCGATCTGATCTTCAAGTCGAACACCCCTCTTTACTCTCGCGTGTCACGTGACCATGTAATCGCAGCCTCTGCGATTGAAAAATCGCGTTATTTCATATCGCGATGTTATCGCAAATGCAATTAATCGTTCAGCCCTAGTGCATGGGAAAATGTTTTTGTGTTTTTAGTGTAAAGGTTTTCTCATGCATTCACAATTTTTTTGTGTGTGCAGATTTATATACACAAATCAATAATTGTAATAATGTGTGAACACAAATATTTTCCAACAAACAGAAGAAAATGTTTTTGTTTGCGTATACATTTTTCATGTGCATATACACTACTATTCCTTTAAGTTGTAATACTACTTAATAATGTTGTTTTTACTGTATTTTTGATCAAATAAATCCAGCCTTGATGAACATAAGTGGCTTCTTTCAAAATCATCAGTCTGAATTATTTAAACCTTTTGACCTGTAATGTATTAACTTTCTAATGCACAAACAGATTTTTGTTTTTGTTTTCTCTGGAAAATTCCACTTTGTATTCTGAATTCTCTGTAATTCAGTGACTAGTGGCAGAAAACATATTGTATGATACCTTGTTGATGTCCAACTTTTAAAAGTGTGTGAGATGAATATCTCTGTGTGTTGTTTTTCAGGCGGCAGGTGGAGTGGGAGGCAGCTAGCAGTCTGATTGAAGGGATTTGTTTGACACTTCATCGGCAGCCAATCATTTCCTTCCTCCCTCACCTGCGATCTCTAATCAACGTTTGTGTCAACCTGGTGAGTCCCAAACAGCTGTTGCCGATGAGATCCTTTGTGTGATGTATATTTGTTTACATAAAGATGTATGTGTTTAGGTGATGGGGGTTGTGGGGCCATCTAGTGTGGCAGATGGACTTCCCTTGTTGCATCTAAGTCCATACCTGTCTCCTCCTCTTCCCTTCAGTACAGCAGTTGTGCGTTTGGTTGCCATGCAGATCCAGGTATAATCTGTTTCTTTCTATACATATTTCTAATATGCATTTCAGTTCATTGATACAGTATCTCACAGAAGTGAGTACACCCCTCACATTTTTGTAAATATTTTATTATATCGTTTCATGTGACAACACTGAAGAAATGACACTTTGCTACAATGTAAAGCAGTGAGTGTACAGCTTGTGTAACAGTGTAAATTTGCTGTCCCCTCAAAATAACTCAACACACAGCCATTAATGTCTAAACCCTGTGTGTTGAGTTATTTTGAGGGGACAGCAAATTTACACTGTTATACAAGCTGTACACTCACTACTTTACATTGTAGCAAAGTGTAATTTCTTCAGTGTTGTCACATGAAAAGATACAATAAAATATTTACAAAAATGTGAGGGGTGTACTCACTTTTGTGAGATACTGTATATTTTTGGGCATATGTTTAATGTCTTCCTCCAATTCTAGGCTTTAAAGGATGACTTCCCACTCAGTCATGTGATCTCCCCCTTCACCAATCAGGAGAGACGAGAAGGGATGCTGCTTAACCTCTTGATTCCATTTGTATTGACTGTGGGCTCAGGGAGTAAAGGTCTGCCTTAGAGAACAAACAGAACCTCAAAGTCATAATGCAATTGGATGTAATTTACAATGTTTATTTATGTTTTTCCTTTACAGACAGCCCTCATCTGGAGCAGCCAGAGGTATTTCTACTTTTGCAGACAGTCATTAACATCCTGTTACCTCCACGCATTATCAGCACTTCCCGCAGTAAGAACTTTGTTCTGGACGCATCCCCTGCCCACTGCTCCACCCCAGGGGACACTGGGAAAGACCTGCGTAGAGAGGGACTGGCTGAATCCACCAGCCAAGCAGCTTATCTTGGTACTAGAGCATTGGAGACGGTTGGATGGTGTGATATAAGAATTTTTGTTTTTTAAAGATGTCTGTACATTTTATAATTTTTTTTCTTTTAATCTGCTCTTTATAGCTCTGAAGGTGGTCTTAGTCTGCTTTGAGCGACAGTTGGGTAATCAATGGTACAAGCTGAGTCTGCAGGTCAAGGAAATGGCCCTGCGTAAAGTTGGTGGTCTGGCTTTCTGGGATTTTATTGACTTCATAGTGCGCACAAGAATTCCAATCTTCATTCTATTGCGCCCCTTCATACAATGCAAGGTGGGCGGATTTTAAGGATATATACTACCTTTTTGAACTCTCTATTAGTGGTTGACCGATATGGGTTTTTAATAGCCAATGCCGATATATAGAAGGGTGGCTGATATAGAGCTGATGTATATGATATCACACATTTACTTTAAGTTAGTAAATAACACATGTACCTCTGCTACACTAAAATTACTACTTATTATATAATTTAAAGTCACCATGAAATAGAAACTGACAACTGTAAAATTGTCACAATGGAATATTGTAGTGTATATTATTAATTAGCAAACAACAATGATGCAATCAAGTGAGTCTTTTAACCACTATCAGTTCACACCGTTTGTATCTTATGCACAGATGGACCATCACACAACATTAATCAGTCGTCACAATTCCGAATATTGGCCAATTTATCAGCCTTGGCAATATATCAGTTGCTCATTTGTTTCTATCTATGGTCCTTTTTTCTGCCAGCTCTGTATACTTCTGCAAGATTGATATTCATGAAAAAGTCTTCATGTCTCTACTTTCAGCTGTTGACCCAGCCAGCTGAGTCTCAGGAGGAGATCACGGCCCGTCACCATATTGCAGAGCAACTAGAGCGTCGTTTCATCCCACGGTCCCTCTGCAAGAGCTCTCTGTTTGCTGAGTTCAGCAACGAGCTCAAGATCCTGAAAGAGGCTGTGCATAGTGGCTCTGGTGAGAACTGGCTTAATTGGTTTACATACAAAACAAAAGTTAACCTACCTATTGTTGGAAACTCAGGCTACGTTTACACGACAACAGTGTAGTCAAAAATGGAAAAGTTTTTCCCTTGCATTTTTAAAAAGTTTCACGTATACACGACAACATTTTCAAAA